TATATATATATATATATATATATATATATATATATATAAATAGTGAACATGAAAAAGGAGTCTGAAAAGTGAAAAATAATTGGGCAAAAGTGTTTATCTTATTTTCACTAGCCAGGGTTAATCGGACGAGAAAAAGCATACTGTGAAGGTTAATATTATTCATGCATAGGCATGCCACTGATTACGTACCAAAATGTTTGGCATATTAAACATATATTAGTTTCGATTCCAGTTTTTTTTTTTAATATTATTTATCTAGTTCCACTAAAATGACGAGACTTTGCTTTTAAAAAAAAGTACAATAATAAATATTAATTAAAAAATTAATGATATACTATAATTAGTTTTAAATTCTATTATACAAGTATTAAATTTTATCATTCTTCTTAATAGTTGATTTTTTAATTAAAAATTATAAGTATCTTTTATTCTCTGAAGTACACATCTTTATTTTAGATGAACAATTTTTATTTTTTCTTGTTTGAGGGAAGGTTCTTCATTTAATTAGGGCTTGTCTTTGGTTTGATTCAATACTCAATACCACCTTTTGATTTTAAAATTTTTTTTTTTTAAATTATTCCACGTTACTAAACCTTCTCATCCACATTTAAATTGATTTTTTTTTTTTGAAAAGCAAAATAATATTTATATATGGCACTAGGGGTGCCATGAACCCTATATACAAGTAAAAAGCTAGGTTATATATAATATTATCAATCTGTCTAATTACATTTCTGATTTTGAAAAATCAAAACGCAAAAAAAATATTAATGGAGTACTTATTTTGCAAATGATTGTTTAAGAAACTCTATTTTTTTTCTATAACAGAAAACGCAGAACCTTTAATTCACAAGTTTCGTTACCCTTAAAACTATTATTTAAAAACTTCAAAATATTTAATGAAAAGTGTACAATATTTTTAATACATTTACAATTCATAAACAAAATTATTTTTCATTTTTGAATCCTCAACAAATAACTGACTAACGAATTAAAAAACAGAAATTAATTAATTATATTCAAAAAAAAATGTAAAGGAATTTAAAAACGATTCCTTAATTCTTTGAATAATATTTTAACAGCAAACAAATTAAACGTGATATGAAGAGAAATCACAGCAATCCTACACATTATTTATCGTGGTAAAAGTGAGAAAATGCATAAGAAAGTCAATGTAAAACGGTGCATGTTGAGAAAACAAACTCCATTAACTACTCACCAAGGCAGAAGAATAAAGAATTCAAATCCCAAATGTTTTTAGGAGTATTGTTTGTTGTTGTTCCATGACATTTTAAAAATGCATTAACTGTCTTATTTAATGCCTTACCTACATTTCCATATATTCAGTAAATTCGGTAATCCAGGCATGGAAATATCAAAATGCATTAACTGTCTTATTTAATGCCTTACCTACATTTCCACAGAAGTAGCAGTTTTGTGTCATTTAATGCACCTTCTTCCTCACCATCTCTTCTTCCTTTGCAACCTGTAAACACCTTCAATCCTTCATCTCTTACAAAATGGACCATAGCCTCAGTTGTGATCTATTATTATGACGGTTTCATGATTCCAGAAGAGTTGAAATCACTTGATGACTTTTCTTGGTATTTTTGTCTCTCTTACCAAACAAGCATCAACATTGGAATCTTCTCTTGTAAGCATCCAAAGAGGACAGAAGATCCAATGAAGTTTCTTGCTATTTGTGTTGCTGATTGTTGCCTTCTTATGCATACAAACCCAAAATGAAGATTCTGATTTGGCTAGCTATTTTGCATCCAACAACAACAAAGGCCTTATTCCACTAGTTATTTTACATCCCCACCACTTTATTTTTTAATTTTTTTGGCCTCTTTCCCCTTCCTTCCTAGTTATCCATGGAAATTGTGAAAAATCATCAGGTAAAATTGCTTTGGTTAGTAGTTATATGAAGATTGTTAAACTTGATTTCTCCCTTTAAACTGTGTTTCTTGCTGACTAGTCAAAAGGTATATCCAACCAACATTATTAGTGAGGATTATATTATACATTTTTCTAAATAATATTCGGTAATGGCCATGTTGAATATGAAGCAATGGCTAGTTGGATTTGGGAGTCTAGTTAAGGTTGTGGTTTTTTCATGCTTGTGGTTGCAAGTTTCAAGTCTTGGCTCCATGTCTTCCATTGCCACCTCTTATGGAGACAAAGGGTCCGTTTTTTGTGGCTTGAAATCAGATGGATCTCACACTGTGACCTGCTATGGAATGAACTCAGCCATAATTTATGGAACACCAACGCATTTCCCGTTCCTTGGTCTAACCGGTGGCGATGGCTTTGTGTGTGGCCTTCTAATGAGTTCTAGTCAACCATATTGCTGGGGTAGCAGTGGCCATGTTGAAATGGGTGTGCCACAGCCTATGGTTAAGGGAGCACAGTACCTAGAGATCAGTGCTGGGGACTATCATGTTTGTGGATTGAGGAAACCATTGACAGGGAGACACAGGAACACTTCCTTGGTTGATTGTTGGGGCTACAACATGACCAATAACTATGTGTTTGATGGACAGGTTCAATCAATCTCAGCAGGTTCTCAATTCAATTGTGGCTTGTTTTCCCAGAATAGGACTGTGTTCTGCTGGGGAGATGAGAGTAGTAGCCCAGTTATTGATATGATCCCTCATGGCACGAGGTTCCAGAAGATCTCTGCTGGAGGGTACCATGTGTGTGGAATCTTGGAAGGGGTGAATTCTAGAGCAGTTTGTTGGGGGAGGAGCTTGTTGGATATGGGGGAAGAGGTTTCAATTTCATTGAGACAAGGACAAGGTAATAATGTTGATATGGCTCCAACGGATCCAATGCTTTCTGTGGTGGGAGGGAAGTTCCATGCATGTGGCATTAAGAGCTATGATCATGGAGTGGTTTGCTGGGGCTATAGTTTCAAAGCAGGTACCCCAGTTCCTAGAGGGATTAAGGTCTTCGTGGTTTCTGCTGGGAATTACTTTACTTGTGGAATACTTGTTGAGAAATCTCTTGTGCCTGTTTGTTGGGGTGTTGGCTTCCCTTCATCTCTTCCTTTGCCTGCCTCACCAAGAATGTGTAGGTCTACACCATGTCCTCCAAGTTACTATGAAACCCCACAAAATGGTCTTTGCAAGTCTCCAGGTTCCCATGTTTGCATGCCATGCAGTCCTTCTTGTCCTCCTGAGATGTACCAAAGAAGTGGATGCAACTTGAAATCTGACATATTATGTGAATATAATTGTTCCATCTGTTCCTCACCTGAATGCCTCTCCAATTGCTCCTCTTCCAATGATGCTGCCAGTGGCAAGAAGAGTGAAAGATTTTGGTCCATGCAGTTGCCAGTGGTTATTGCTGAGATAGCTTTTGCTGTTTTCTTAGTTAGCATTGTGTCCATAACCGCTGTGTTGTATGTTCGCTACAAGCTGAGAGATTGTCAATGTCCTTCAGTGAGAGGCTCAAATGTGAAGAAACTAAAAGGGGGTTGCTCACACCAAAAGGAGAAATGCAAGATCAGACCAGACTTGGAGGAGTTCAAGATCAGAAGGGCACAGATGTTCCCCTATGAGGAACTTGAGAGAGCAACTAGTGGATTCAAAGAAGAATCCATAGTGGGGAAGGGAAGTTTCTCTTGTGTGTTCAAGGGTGTTCTCAAAGATGGCACTGTTGTTGCTGTCAAAAGGGCCATAATGTCTCCCAACGTGCAGAAAAACTCCAAGGAGTTTCACACTGAGCTTGACTTGCTCTCTAGATTGAACCATGCACACTTGCTCAATCTACTAGGATACTGTGAAGAAGGTGGAGAGAGGCTCCTTGTTTATGAATACATGGCTCATGGCTCTTTGCATCAACACCTACATGGCAACAAAGTGATGAAAGAGCAACTTGATTGGGTGAGAAGAGTAACAATTGCAGTGCAAGCAGCACGTGGAATAGAATATTTGCATGGCTATGCATGTCCACCAGTGATCCATAGAGACATCAAGTCTTCAAACATCCTCATTGATGAAGAACACAATGCTAGAGTGGCTGATTTTGGTTTGTCACTGCTTGGTCCTGCAGATAGTAGCTCCCCTCTGGCTGAGTTGCCAGCTGGCACTCTTGGTTATCTTGACCCTGAATACTATAGGCTTCACTATCTCACAACAAAGTCTGATGTGTACAGCTTTGGTGTCCTACTTTTGGAGATTCTAAGTGGTAGAAAAGCCATAGACATGCAATATGAAGAAGGGAACATTGTTCAATGGGCAGTGCCCCTGATCAAGTCAGGAGACATAGATGCAATTTTGGACCCAGTTTTGAAACCCCCTCCTGACCTTGATGCATTGAGAAGGATAGCAAATGTGGCATGCAAAAGTGTGAGAATGAGAGGGAAAGATAGGCCCTCAATGGACAAAGTGACAACAGTTTTGGAGAGAGCTTTGGCACAGTTGATGGGAAGTCCTTGCATTGAGCAACCAATTTTGCCAACTGAAGTGGTTTTGGGAAGTAACAGATTGCACAAGAAGTCATCTCAAAGATCTTCAAACAGGTCAGAAAGTACTGATGTGGAGGATCAAAGGTTTGAGTTTAGAGCACCCTCATGGATCACTTTCCCAAGTGTGACTTCCTCTCAGAGAAGGTCAGGCTCAGAGGCTGATGTTGAGGGGAAAAACATTGCAGAAGGGAGGCATAACGTTGGAGGTGGTGGTGATGTTTTGAGAAGCCTTGAGGAAGAGATTGGTCTTGCTTCTCCTCAAGAGAGACTCTTCTTGCAACACAACTTCTAACTTGAAGAAAGTAGATGGTGTTACTGTTCACGAAATTTTTGTTTTGTTTAGTTGAGTTTCATCATATATGAATGAATGCAACTCTTACACTACTTAGTTGCTATTTCCTGAGAGTTGTGTTTTCAGAATCTTAGTGGAGCTTTCATTCTTTCATGCAGTTACACTTGGATGTAAGGTAACTATCATCTTATTTTATTGATTGTAAAGCGTATCATCTGTGTTCAATTCTATCATAACGTTGTCTTTTTTTTCTTTTTTTCTTTTCCCACTCATTTGAGAGATTCATAATTGGGTTATGATAAGATAATTGTAAGTTAGAGAAATGCTAGAAATAGTGTCTGACTCACTTTTTTATAACACTTTATTAGTTAAAATTTATTAAAAATCACAAAATTTAAAGAATGACTCTCAATGTCTCCTCACCCGCACTTAACATTGTACACTAAAAATTGAAATTAAAGCATTATTTTACGCCAGATAAAACAAAAGAAAATTAACAACAGGTAGATGACGTGGAACCAAGCTGATTGAAATGTTTGTTTCTGAAATGAGTTCTACAAGTATTTTAATTCACAATGTCCATATTGTGGTCAACCATGCATGGACTACATGATGAATGTGCAATGCTAAATGAATTTTCAATTTTATTTATTTATTTAATATAGTAAAAATTATTAATTTATGGATAACATTTCGTAAAAATATTATGTTCTCAAGATTTATAATTTTCAAATATGAAAAAAATTGTCATGCATCAAATGTCCCAAAATGTCACCTGAAAAATATTTGTTAAAGCATGATTTATTGAGATAACAGCTATACTTAAAAAAAATCTACCTAAAATAATCCACTAGAGTAGGTTAAATGGGGTAGTTGGATTTAATTTATCGGGTTGATTGTATACCCAAGAGGGTGAAATTTCACATAAAATGTGGTATTTTTCCTTGAAATACTAGCAACAAATAAACATCTTCCTATAACTAATGCTGCATATGCAAGCATCTGACTAGGAAGTTATTATTTGGTTTTCACATTGATAAAATTCTCTACATAGATTACATCCCTTAATCCAATCGAGTGGCCTAGTTTGAGTTGCATTGTTAAACCCTAATAAAAGTGTTCGTAGTAGATTTTCCCCGAAAGATTGATCAAATAACAGTCACTATAGTAACATTAATTGTTGATAATTATGATTTAGCTGTTTAATGAATTTAACACCCTCCTCCTACTAGCCAACCGGTTAAAATCCATGAGTAACTAACTCATGGTAAATAGAATTATTTCGATTGTTTCCTTTGATCATTTAATTGTTTTGATTTTAAATTCAAATTCAATTTTTTTTTTCACTTATAAGAATTGAACTTGATGTTAGAGAATTTATAACAACTCGCTCGTACTACTTAAACTCAGCTAAATTTTTAGTACTAAAATCAATCGATCAAATTTGATCCAATTCAATTTATTTCTATTTGAATTGAATTGGTTTTGATTTTAAAAAAATACAAATACTGATATAATATAAATTATTTCAACTTCCAACATCACAGTTCATATATAATTTATAACATACTATACAGTATATATTAAAATTGTAAGTTAAAGATAATTTTATAATTGTTAAAATACAAATAAAATCTTATATTATTATAATAAGAAGATAAATATAATTTTATAAAAACATATAGATTTTTTTTTATTAATATGAAGTATTTTGAAGTCTAAATGAATTATTTCATAACAATATAAAGATGTTTATAAATCTTGATAAATATATTTTTACAAAACAACACACAAACAATATCTCAAAGAACAAATAAAAAATACATAACAAATTTATAATTTATACATGCCTTAAATATATGAATGTGTAACTAATTGTAAAACAATCTTAGATATACAACAAATTAGTTCAATTTGAACCGGCGTGGGATTCAAAATTTGATATAATCCAATAAAAAAAAATCAAATTTTAATTGGTTGAATTATGGCAATCAGTATAAATTAGTCGATGAAAACCTCTAGTAAGTGGGATTCATAATATGGTTCCCATTAAATGCATTAAATGGAAGAATCAAAGTTATAGGGTGTGTTGGAAATACGAAGTCAACAAGTTGACATATTTCATTTTAGCCTAATTTTGTTTTTTTCAATTGGCACACATTCTGATGTCCTTTAGTGTGATTAATTTCAACCAACGTTTGAGGCACTAGAATGTTAAAACAATTATAATGTATGTTTGATTTATTATTTGAAAAACATTCAACAAATTTTTACACATTTCAATGCACAAAACATAGAAATAACTTTAGTGTTCTATCAGATCAAAAGCAAGTTATATTGAATTGTAACTTTTTGGCAAACACAACTGTATTGAAGTCTTAGTCTTAAATGGTGAGTCAAATAATGGTTACCTCTATTTTTATAGATTATAAACTTTATCTCTTTGTTTTAAAATAAAAATATATAATTTTTCAATTTTAAAAATATATAATTTTTCAATTTTAAAAATATAAATTTTTAAGCCTTCTCTTTGTATT